GCAAATGGAGCTGCTCCTGGTGAACAAGCTCAAGTGGAACCTGGCTGCCATGACCCCCCACGATTTCATCGAACACTTCCTCTCCAAAATGCCAGAGGCCGAGGAGAACAAACAGATCATCCGCAAGCATGCGCAGACCTTTGTCGCCCTCTGTGCCACAGGTAGGGAGCCGGAGAGCCCGTGGGCTTCCTTAAGTCACCCTGGCCAGTGGCTTGCTCTCTGGGGGGTCTCCTGTCTAGGAAGAGGTCAGGGACCAGGTGGTGGTGGAAGCATGCCCCGTCCCCTTCACGGCCACCCTGCAGTGCACCGGAGACGGATAGTCTAGCCTTCCTGTGCGTGGCTGCTGCCCCCTCTCCTCCCTGTGCCAGGCACCCTTGGCCACGCCGTGCTAAAAGGGGTTGACCTGGGCCCTGGGCTGCCTGCCGCTGCCCACCTCTAGCCCGCCCTGTGTCCTCAGGAGCCTGGGCTGCGGGGCCCCCTCCTGGCCCTCCCAGGCTGGGCCACCTGCCAGGGGCGCCTGCAGGGGCAGGGAGAGCAGCCGCCAGTGCCTGCACCACGTGCTCCAGGCGGCCAGCAGCAGCCCCGGTGCGGGGGCGGCCAGTGGAGGAGCCTGGGCGCCTGAGGCCCCGCGAGGGGCGCCTGGGGCCAGCTCTGCGCAGTTGAGTCCTGGGAGGGCCTTTGGAGCAGCCTGGGCTGGGGCGCCGTTCGGCAGCAGGGGGCCAGCCCGCCCTCCTCCTCCTCCTGGCCCTGCACCCTAGATGGGAAGCCTGTCCCAACCCAGCATGGACGGACACACAGATGAACCGGGCTGCCTCTTGCCCCCAGCACTGCCGCTGACGCTGCCCCCCCCCATCAGATTTTGGGACCCACACAGGCTGTGTCCAGGAGGCCTCTTTACCCTGATGGGGGACCCAGCTCCTCCCCAGCTTGGCTGTGGCCCTGGTTAGGCCTCAGGTGCTACTTCTGTTTGGAGCTCGCCCTGGGTCACTTGAGGGCCACTGGCAAGGTGGTGTCAAAGGGGGCAGCTATGTCTTCTCCCACCTCCCTGGAGGGGCAGAGCCCTGTGGCCTGGTCCTCTGGACTGCGGGTACAGGGGGTGCTGGGCCTCCACAGTCCTGCCCTGCTGAGGTCCTCTCGAGCCAGGCCGGGTGGGTGCTGAGAGTGGGGCCAGCCTGTTGGGGCTGGCCCTGGGGCAGCAGGGAGGCCTCTGGCTGGAGCTCCTCTGCAGAGCGGCTCCGGGCAGCCTTTTATGGGTCTGAAGTGGCTGGGGAGACGCTGCAGTTTCCTAGAGATGCTGCGCTGGATGGGCCTGGCCTCCCTCAGCCTCCCTTGCTGGGCCTCCCCTACAGGCCCCTTGCTGGCAGGGAGTGCAGAGCACCCAGGCTACGGCCAGGTCTCCTGGCTGCTCCAGGGCCTTTGACATGGGGCTCCACAGGAGCCCCCCACTTCAGCTTGGCACCTGCCCGTGGCCAGGGCGTCCCCTCTGGGTGGGCTCTGTGGTGGGCCTCGGCCTCCTGAGTCGCTGGGATCGCAGGCGTGCCTTTCCTCGCGGGCCCTGGCACTGCGCTGCCTGTTTGCACACCGCTTGGTGAAGGCAGGACCGGCACGTTTTCCATGAGCACATGATGGAGTGACGCGGGTCTCGGCAGGGGCCAGCCCTGCTCCCGCGACTGTGTGTGTGTGCCCTCGTCCATCAGACGGCCGTGGAAGTCCACGTCGGAGCTTTGGGTTTAATTCTGGCTGTCCCTTGCTGGCCTGCGTGGCCACCCTTCTGCCCCTCCACCTGGGGGTGGGGCACGGGCTTTGTGCAGGGACTGCGGAGGCCGCCCCGCCCCCCAGCGCCGACCTCTCCGCTGTCCCTCGGGCAGCTTTGCTGTGCGCCTGATTTGCCTCATGAAGCAGTCTCTGTTCCGGGCCCCGCTGCCCAGCCTGGCCGAGGGCCTCCGTGGGGGAGAGAGGCAGATTTCTTTTTCTAGTCTATGACGCCACCCAGGAGCGGGGTCTGCCTCAGGCGGCTGCTTTTCCTCCCTGTCCCTTAACAAGGCATGAAGCCTCAGGTGGCGGCGGCACCCCAGCTGGTGGGGCCCCCCTGGGGCCGGCCGGCTGCTGGTCAGCTCCCTTGAGACCCCTGTTCCCAGGCGCTCAGTGGCACGAGATGAGGCTTTGGGAGTGGACAAGATTGACACTGTCCCTTCCCTCGTCCAGGCCTGGCCCACGGCCCAGGTTCCTAGGTGAAGTTGGTGACCATCCCCACCAGAAAGTCCTTGTGGAGGAGAACAAGAAGGTGGCCCTCGGGCTGCTCTGGATGGGGGCAGGTGGGAAAGAAGGAAGCGGGTGCCCCCGACTGCAGTGGTCTGGGGGGATCTCCAAGCGTCGTCCTGAGGGGACGTCCCTGCTGTGACTCGGGGAGGTGAGATGGGCCACCCGGCTCAGCACTGGGGCCTACCTCCCACCAGCAGGGGCACAGGAGTGTGGGGTCCCTAGGACCCAGGGAGGGAAGGGGCCGGACGGCCTCGGGAGGCTGGGCCGTGGGCAGCTGTGGCCCAGTGCCGCTGCCTGGGAAGCTCTGCTTGGCTGGCCACAGCTGCCCGCTTGCCTGGTTGGGGCTTCTCGTGTGGCAACCACGACATGAACCGTGTGCCTCCCAACTCGAGATCAGGAGGCGGGGAGATGGTCAGGTGTGGGAGGAGGCGCAGAAAGCTGTCCCTGGCTGACGGAGCTGACAGCAGAGGGCGGGAGTGGGCCTTGCCAAGGTGGGTGGCCGGAGGGCTCCCGGGGCAGCTGGAACATGACTGCCCCATCACACCCTCCCTGCTGGGTGCTGACCAGGGTTCAGTCACTGAGGGACTTGGAAGCGGCTGGCTGTCCACACGCTGTAGCTTTGCGTGGCCCTCTGGGATGGACCAGCTCTCTGGAGTCCCTGCTCCTAGGTAGCAGCAGACTCTGATGGCAGGCATGCTGGCGTGGGTGGCTTTCCCCCGGCGACTCCTGCTGTCCGGGCGCCCAGCGGTGTGGAAGGCTGGGAAGACCTGAACGTAGGGCCAGCGTGCCTGAATTGGGCGGTCCTGCCATTTCCCCACTCACAGCCCCTTCTCCCGCTTTCCTGCAGACGTGAAGTTCATTTCTAACCCACCCTCCATGGTGGCCGCTGGGAGCGTGGTGGCCGCAGTGCAGGGCCTCCACCTGGGCAGCCCCAACACCTTCCTGTCCTGCTACCGCCTGACCCACTTCCTCTCCAGAGTGATCAAGTGTGACCCGGTGAGTGATGGGAGCCAGAGAGGCTAAAGCCAGGACCGACCGTCTAGGGTGCTGAGCAGGACCTGGGCCCCCAACCGCTCCCTGATCTCAGGACTTATTTGTGTCTAAGGGACTGTGATGGTCACAGCTGACAGGGCCAGCTTCTCCCATCCCTCCCAGGGGGCCTGAGGCTTGTCAACTAGACAGAGGGTCCTCACAGGCTGCTGTCACCCCCTAGGAGTCCCAGGATTAGGCAGGAGACAGCCACCAGCAGGCAGGCTCCGCACACCTGGTGATGAACTGTGTGGTCATGGGGCTGGGCAGCGCCACCAGGCCGTGTCTGGACCACAGTATGCGTGGCCAGTGAGCAGCACCTTGAAGGGCTTGTGAAGCCCCAGCCCCTGGCCCAGGTGGATTAGACCAGCGAGGCTGGGGGTCAGCTCTGCCCGGTGTGCTGGAGGGAGTGGCCCTGGGCCGTAACCCTGGCTTGGGTCCAGGTGGGCTTGCCGAGGCTGCTCTTGGCCGTGGAGCGTCTAGAGGGCTCCTGGGGGTCCCAGCCAGACACTCTGCCTGCTTGTCCCCAGCCTATGCATGACCCCTGAGAGGGTGAGACACCTCCCTCCCACCCACCGCCTGGCCTCACCTGCTTGGGGTGAGCGTCCTCTTCTGGCCGCTGCCGGGAGCAGCGGTGTCCCCCAGCTGCGAAGACAGAGCTGGAGAGGAGATCTCTCCACAGAAACAAAGTGCTGGGCTGGGCCAGCTCTGGGCAGGGTGCCTGCCCAGCACGAGGGGCCCTGGTTCCACCCCCAACACGTGGGTGAGGCTGCTGGCCCGGCGGCCGCTCGGGGAGGGCTTCCCGGGTACATGGCTGGCTGACAGTGGGTGCCTCCTGGCCGGTGCAGGAAGGGCCGCAGCTGCCCTCGTGTGAATAGAGACTGTTTCAATTAGATGTTAATGACACGCACCAGAAAGAGCAGTTGAGGCTGAAATGACCGTCGGCTTTCCCGGCCAGACGCACTGAGCTGGACGCCCCAGGCTGGACGCCCCAGGCAGCAAGGCCCTGGACTCCTCCTGGCGAGCTGGGCTTCACTCCCACTCGGGCCCATCCTCTCCTCCTGTGGCCTGGGCCCAAACCGCCTTCCCCAAGTCCCCTGCCAGACCACGGGCCTCCTGGGGGCAGCCTCCTTTGGCAGACCAGTCCACAAAGGACTCCAGCGTGGCAGAGGGTGTGTTCCAGAAATGTCCATGTGCCCCTTGACCAGGGAGCAGACAGCCCTGCCTGGGGCTTCTGGCCACCAGTCAAGGGCACCATCCACTGGGGAGGCCTGGCAGGACAGTGCGGGGACAGGGACAAGGCAGAAAGTGCGCAGAAGGCCTCGTCCAGCCCACTCTGACCTCAGCGTGGGATCGAAGCTGCAGTCAGTGGGGCTGCCGGGAGGGCGCACAGCCAGGCGGGGTGTGGCAGCCCGGGGACCACTCTTGCACCTCTCAGTCGCCCCCTCCAACACGGGCCTCCAGGGCGCCAGGGGCTCCTGAGAAGGTGCCTGAGGGCGGGTGCAGCCAGGGCTCCGGCCCAGGGCTGTGGACTTGGTGTTCCCATCTGTAAGATGGGGCTGCACCACCCCCTGCCGCCCCGTCCACCGTGATGAACGGCTGGGGGGGGCACAGCCCTGCTGGCCTGGGGCAGCTGGCAATGCCACCCTGCTTGAGATGTTAGGCTGCACCGTGTGACCCCTGGGCCCTGTTCCTTGTGGGAAGGAGTTTCCTAGGCTAGAGACTGCTGGGTCTCAGAAGCCCACCTCTGGGACATCCCCGCACTGGGGACACACAGCCTGACACTGCAGCCAGCTTCTTTACTCAGAAGCCACCCAGCACCAAGAACAGCTAGAGGGCGCTGCTGGGAGACGCCTCCTGTGGAGGCCCGGAGGGCTCTGGGTGTCCGGGCTCCTCTTACCCTGAGGTGCAGGCAGCTCTGCCGAGGGGGCCCCAGCCCAGCACCCAGGTGCGGGCTTCCAGGAACCCTCTCCGCGCACTGGTGTGCCGGGCCTCGGCTGCACTAGTGGGTTCTCAGTTGCAGGACTGGGGCCCAGGATGCAGCTGTAGGGAGAGGACCGTTTGGTCACACCTAGGGAAGACCAGGGGCCCCTCAGGGTGGCCACCTTGCTGGAGCTCGGGGGGCTTCCCTGCTCAGGACATGTGCATTATGGGCCTGGGGTGAGGGTTCTGGAGGGTTCCAAGAAGCGGGTCTCTGCTGGGAGGTGGGCGAGGCAGGGGACACCTGGTGTGTGTTCGTTCACGGTCTCGAGGCAGAGGCATTTATTCCCAGGCGAGGTCAGCAGGCCAGGGGCTGCCGGGGACCAGAAGTGGCGCCTGTGACCAGTTCCTGGGCTGGCGTTGGGGCTGAGGTCCTGTGTGGGCCCCCTCCTGACCCCCCTCCCCCGTCTCTGCAGGACTGCCTGCGCGCCTGCCAGGAGCAGATCGAAGCCCTGCTGGAGTCCAGCCTGCGCCAGGCCCAGCAGAACCTGGACCCCAAGGCCTCCGAGGAGGAGGTGGAGGAGGCGGCGGGGGCCGACCTGGCC